TCGATCTCAAGGATAGGTTTTCCCAGAGCAATGGGCCTCGCATTTTTCAATTGCGTCGAGAATTCGTCAATTTGGCTCAAGATCAACACTCGGTTAGTGTTTATTTCACGAAATTGAAATCTTTGTGGGAAGAATTGAGCAATTTCAGGCCCGTATGCTCGTGTGGAAAATGTACCTGTGGTGGTGTCAAGGCACTTTATAATCACTGTCAAATGGATTATATAATGTCCTTTCTTATGGGACTTAACGAGTCATTTGCTCAAGTACGGGGTCAAATTTTGCTGATGGATCCTCTTTCAGCCATTAACAAGGTGTTTTCTTTTATCTCACAAGAGGAACGTCACAGGAAAGTGAGCTCACAGTCTATCTCCACTGGAGATTTGAGCCATTCCATGGCTTTTGCAGCAAAGAATGATTCTTTTTCCAAACCTAGTAATAGTTCTCCTTCTTCTTCAGCTGCAGGCAACAAGAACCAAAGGAAGGATCGTCCTTTTTGCACTCATTGCAACTACCATGGACATACTATTGACAAATGTTACAAAATTCATGGCTATCCTCCCGGTTTTAGACAACGACGGAGAACTCAATCACCTGCCACTCAACCCGGTATGGTGAATCAAGTTTCAAATCATGTTGTTCCTGAAGGTCGTGATAGCCAGAATGGAAGCACAGGGAATCTTCTTCAGAATCTGACTAGTGTTTAGTGTCAACAATTGATGGCTTTGCTCTCTAGCCAACTGAATTCTGTTTGTCAGACTGATTCTTCCAATGATCCTTCTTCTTCGGTTGTCACAGGTAATTGTTTTTCTGTGTCAATCACTCCAGCTTTATCATCTCCTCTGTTATGGATTGTTGACTCTGGCGCTTCACGGCATATTTGCTTCAATGCTCATGCTTTTATTTTCATGAGACCTGTACACAATTCCACAGTCACTTTGCCTAATCGAACTTCCATACCTGTTCATTTTTCTGGTGATGTTAGACTCAGTTCAACCTTGTTGCTTAAGGATGTCCTTTATGTCCCTCAGTTCACTTTTAACTTGATTTCAGTGAGTGCCATTACCAATGCCTCTATGCTCACGCTTGGTTTCTTTCCTGATCATTTCATGATCCAGGAAATGCACAGCAAGAGGATGATTGGCAAGGGTAGAAAGCTTGAAGGTTTATATGTTTTTGACATGACAAGCACAGATGTTGCTTTGGAGCGAACCCACTCGGTAGCAAACACTAATAATGTGTCAGTAGATACTTGGCACCATAGACTAGGTCATTTGTCTCATAAATGTTTAGACATGTTGAAAGGCCAACTGTCTTGCACAAATTTTCATTTTGATAATAAGACTCCATGTTACATTTGTCCTTTGGCTAAGCAAAGGAAATTACCATTTGTTTCTCACAATAATATGTCAAAGTTTCCTTTTGACTTAATACATTGTGATATTTGGGGTCCCTACAACTTGTCCTCTTATTCCGGACATCGTTACTTTTTAACCTTGGTGGATGATTGCACTCGTTTTACTTGGGTTTTTTTGCTCAAACACAAAAATGATGTTTCTGTGGCAATACCTAAGTTTTTCAATCTTGTAGCTACTCAATTTGATAAGAAAGTCAAAGAGTTTAGGTCTGACAATTCATCAGTATTCTTGTGTAGAAAGACCACAACAAAATTCTGTTGTTGAACGGAAGCACCAACACTTGCTAAATGTTGCGCGAGCATTGTATTTTCAGTCTCGGGTTCCTCTTATTTTTTGGACTGATTGTGTTCTCACAGCAGCATTTCTTATCAACCGAACTCCTTCACATGTTTTGGGCAAGAAGACTCCATATGAACTTTTGTATCATAAGAAGGTTGATTATTCCCCTCTTCGTGTATTTGGTTGTCTTGTTTTTGCTTCCACACTTTCTGCTAATCGTACCAAGTTTCAGCCACGTGCTCGTGTTTGTGTCTTTCTTGGTTATCCTCCTGGTATGAAAGCTTATAAGCTCTATGACATTCAGTCTAAACAGGTTTTCATTTCACAGGATGTTGTGTTTCATGAAGCTGTATTTCCTTTTCATTCTGTTATTACCACGGCTGTGTTAGTGGACCCATTTCCTGACTTGGTTCTGCCCACCCCTGCACATGATATTATTGACTTATCTTAGCCTGCTGTTGTTGCTGATGTTGCTGCCCCTCCGACATGTCAACCAGCTCAATCTGGAATCCCTCTCAGGCGCTCTGCCAGGTTAGCTCACCCTCCTTCATACTTGCGGGATTTTCATTGTAGCTTGGTTTCTCATAGCTCTCAGCCACCCTTAGCCAAGGTTCTTTATCCTTTGTCCAAGTGTCTTTCATATGACAATCTTTCTCCTGTACACAAGCATTTTGTTCTCAATGTTTCTTCTCAGTTTGAGCCCTAGTATTACCAGGCCGTAAAATTTCCTCAATGGCGTGAGGCCATGCGAGCCGAGTTAGATGCTATGGAGTCTAATCAAACGTGGTCTGTCGTTCCTTTACCAATTGGAAAACATACCATTGGCTGTAGGTGGATTTTCAAGATTAAATACACGTCTGATGGCTCTATTGACAAGCATAAAGCACGTTTAGTTGCTAAAGGGTACACACAACAAGAGGGAATCGATTATGCTGAAACTTTTTCTCCGGTTGCTAAGTTGGTTACAGTCAAGGTCCTTTGTTAGGATCCCGGCCTTAACAACTAAAATATTATGAACAGGGAAGAAGGAAAATTCACTGAACCGTGTTATTATTAGAATTAATCACCGGAAAACATAAGTAAGCTCGTCTGAGCTCAGTGATACAATTGGAATGGAAATTACAGAAGTATGAAAAGGATAGGGAGGGATTTTCGAGGAATCCCACAACCTCCTAACGGCCAACTCCAATCAGTCTAGACAACGATGCTCTCCCCCACTCCCCCCCTCGCTTACTAATACCCCTCCAGTACTCTAACTAACTTCCCACGTCAGCTCCCCTTTCCTCAGCCAAACCCATATTCCCAGATGGGCCTGTCTTGACCCCCAGCCCTTTATCTTCCATTCCAATTGGGCCGGAGTCTCCCACCAGACCACCCTTGGTCCTCCTGGTGTAGACCTTCCTCACCGGAGGCCTGACAATACTCCCCCCTTCGAAGACAACCTTGTCCCCAAGGTTGAAATGAGGGAATTGGGCCTGAAACACCTCTAGAAGCTCCCAGGTGGCCTCCCAGTCCGGCAGGTCCATCCACTGAACTAGCACTTCTGCAACTTGTTTCCCTCCCACCGAAGTCCACCTGCCGCGAAGAACCTCGGAAGGCTCGACCTGCAACTCTAACTCATCTGAGAGCTGCAGGGGAAGAGGCTGGTGCTGGGGTGCATCCCCCTTAAAGGGCTTCAGATGAGAGACATGGAAAACCGAGTGGATCCTCGTGTCTGCCGGCAGCTTGAGACGATAGGCCACTTCGCCAATCTTTTCCAAAACTTCAAATGGCCCATAAAATCGAGGAGCCAACTTTTCATTGGGCCGGCGAGCTAATGACTTAAGACGATAAGGACGGATTTTTAGCAGGACAAGGTCCCCAGCCACAAAGGAAAGCTCCCGACGGTGAGTATCCGCGAACTTCTTCATGCGTTGCTGTGCAAGCACGAGGTTGCCCTTAAGCACATCGAGGAACTCGTTCTTTTGTCACAGCTGGAGGTTGACATCTTCCACGGCTGAGGGAGAATCCTGGAAGCGGTGAACAGTTGGAGGATCGCGGCCATACAGCACCTGAAAGGGAGAATGCCGCGTTGAGGCGTTATAGTTGGTGTTGAACCAAAATTCTGCCCAAGGTAAGAAGCGAAGCCACAAGCGAGGCTGGTCACTCGCGAAACAACGGAGATAGACCTCCAAACACCTGTTCACAACCTCGGTCTGGCTGTCAGACTCGGGGTGATAAGCCGAACCGCGTTTCAGCTTGGTCCCCTGCATGCGAAAGAGCTCCCGCAAAAAAAAAACTCATGAAGAGGGGGTCCCGGTCGGTGACGATGGAGGCCGGAATGCCGTGTAGTCGGACTATTTCCCGCACAAATACTTCAGCAACTTTCTTGGCCGTAAATGGGCGAGAGAGTGGCAGGAAGTGAGCGTACTTGGATAACCGGTCCACGACCACCAAAATTGTATCAATACCCTGCGACCGTGGCAGCCCCCCTATGAAGTCCATGGAAATGTCTTCCCACACCCTCTCCGGTACCGGCAATGGTTGGAGCAATCCTGCGGGTGTCATTGCCTCAGACTTCGAATGCTGACAAATGGGACATTGAGCAACATATTGACGTATGTCTTCCTTCATCCCCCACCAGAACAGGTTATGCACCACTCGTTTATAAGTGTGCAGAAAACCTGAATGACCCCCTAAGGCCGAGTCATGAAATTCATGCAACATGCGTTGTATCCATGGTGATTGCCTAGGAAGGACGATCCTGCCATGGTAACACAGCAAGTCCCGCTGCAAGGACCACCCCGCAGCCAACTCCTCCCCTTGAGCGAGCTTTTGTAACAAGGCAGCGCAGTCGCCATCTTGCTGCTGCTCCCGCCTGATATCCGCCCAATTTACTAGCTGCGGAATGGAGATGGCCGCTAACTCCACCCCGGTGTCAGCTCCTCGTCTAGAGAGTGCGTCCGCCACACGATTCGACACCCCTTGCTTGTATTCCAGCTTGAAGTCATACCCGAAAAGCTTGATTACCCAGCGGACCATGCGGACCATGAAGTGCCCGCCAAGGAGGTAATGGCGCCACTTTTGGACAGCCAACACGACTGCCATGAGTTCCCGTTCGTAGACGGACCGGAGCCTAGAAGTGTCTGAGAGTGCCTTGCTGAAAAAAGCAATTGGCCTCCCCTCCTGCATTAGCACTGCCCCAATTCCCGAGCCTGAAGCGTCTGTTTCTACCACAAATTTCTTGGAGAAATCCGATATAGCCAGAACGGGAAGAGAAGTCATGGCCCGCTTCAGTGCTTCGAAGGCAGCCCCCGCCTCTGGGGTTCATCGGAAGTCACCCCTTTTAAGCACATCGGTCATGGGTTTTGCCAACCGTCCAAAATTTTGAACGAAACGCCGGTAATAACCAGCCAGTCCTAAGAATCCCCTTACTCCCCTTACGTTCTTAGGTGTGGGCCATGATAGAATGGACTCCACCTTAGCCGGATCAGTAGCCACCCCTGCAGCCGAAATAACATGCCCCAAATACTCCAACTGTGGCTGCCCAAAAACGCATTTATTCCGGTTTGCAAAAAGCTGCTCCCTCCGCAGAATGCCTAGGACTACGGCGAGGTGTTTTTCGTGTTCCTCCCATGTTCTACTATAAATCAAAATGTCGTCAAAAAACACTAAAACGAATTGGCGCAAATAGGGTCGAAATACCTTGTTCATAAGCGCCTGAAATGTGGCAGGAGTGTTGGTCAAGCCGAATGGCATGACCAAGAATTCATAGTGTCCTTCGTGTGTTCGGAATGCCGTCTTCTCCACGTCGAATTCCCTGATCCGTATTTGATGGTAACCTGCCCACAGATCCAACTTCGAAAACACAGCGGCCCCATGAAGCTCGTCCAACAATTCATCTATGATCGGAATCGAAAATTTGTCTGGCACGATAAGTTGGTTGAGGGCGCGATAATCGACGCAGAAACGCCAGCTTCCATCCTTCTTTTTGACCAATAAAACCGGACTGGAGAAGGGGCTGTTGCTTGGCCTAATGATCCCCGAGGCCAGCATTTCTGACACCAATTTCTCAATCTCATTCTTTTGCACTTGGGGGCATCGGTAAGGCCTAATGTTAGGCGGCTCAGCCCCGGTCTTGAGAACAATCTGGTGGTCTCGAGCGCGGCTCGGCGGTAGTTCTTCCGGTGTTGCAAACACGTCGAAAAACTGGGCTAACACCCCTTGGACGGGGGTTGGTTCCAGCATGGCCTGCCCGCCCCCTTCCTCGCCCTCCAGGACACAAATTTCAAGCAAGGCCCCCGACACCTCACCCTGGCATTTTCGCGTGAGAGCACGGAAACTTACCGGTTCCCATCGTAGGGTGGGATCCCCCTTCAAGCAAATCCACCCCTCCGATGCCCTGAATTTCAAGGTGAATTCCCGCCAGTTGGCCCTAACTTCCCCCAATGTTCGCAGCCAAGAAATGCCCAATACCACCTCGGCACATCCTAGGTCAAAGGGTACGAAATCCCCGTTCAGCCGATAGCCCTGGATTTTCAATTCCACACCCCTACACAACCCTTGCTGCCGGAAACAAGCTCCCTTCCCTACCTGGATGCCATAACTGCCCGTGGTGGACAATGGAATTTGCATCTCTTGCACGACCCCTTAGGGAGAGAAAATTGTGCGAAGCCCCGCTGTCAATTAAAATCAACACCTCGCGTTCGCCGATGGCCCCCTTCAACTTCATGGTGTCGGAAGATGCAATTCCCATCATCGCGTTGAGGGAAAGTCCAGCCATTCCCCCTATCTCATCGGCCGGCTCTTCCTCTGCCTCCTCCGCGTTCTCTTCTTCCTCTGCGTCGCTCTCTGACACCAACAACACCTGTAACTGCCGGTTCTTACACCGGTGGCCAGGGCTAAACTTCTCGTCGCATCGATAGCAGAGCCCCTTCGCTCGTCGGCGTTGGTATTCCTCATCTGTCATCCGCTTGAACCCAGTCCCTCCCTCGGCCAGCCCTGACTGCGGCGTGGACCAAAAATGTGTCCGTGGAGAGGGGTTAGGCTCCTTACCTGGAGTGGACTGAAGGGAGCTTCTAGAATAACCGGGCTGCACATTGGGCCGCTCGCCTGGGCCCATTTCCCTTCCCAAGCCTTCATTTCGCCATCCTCGGCCCAGTTTACCCCTCCTCAACCGATCGACTGCCTCGTTACTCTCTCCAATCTGCTGGGCCAAATCCATAACTTCCTGTAAGTTAATGGGCCGTAATAATTTTACCTCAGCCCGCACGTCCTCTCGGAGGCCATTGAGGAAAGCTCCCCAGAAGATGGGTTCCGGTATTCCTCTCATTGATGCAGCTAGGGCCTCAAAACGGTCACGAAACTCTGTTACTGTTCCTTCTTGCCGCAGAGCCATCAAGCGCTCCGTTGGGTCACCATCCTTCGCACGGCTGAAACGGTGGAGGATCGCCGCCTTCAGATCTCGCCAGTCGGTGAAGGGGCCCTTCCCTCCGCATACGGACGCCGTCATCACCCTTTCCTCCCCATCAACACCGTTAATGGCGAAATAACGCTCCGCCCGGAACACCCACCCATAGGGATCGTCCCCTTGGAAGATCGGCAGCTCCAGGCGTCTTCCTCGGTGCTCCTGCCGTGCTCGGCCAGGGTCCGGCGACGCGTTCTGCCTCCGTGGTTCCCTGTCGCGTCCCAACTCCCGTCGTGGCGGGGCGGGCACCTGAGTCTCAAGGTGGCGCCCCAACAATGTTTCCAAACGATGGAGGGCCCCTTGCACGTCTCCTAACTGAGTTCCCAGAGCGTGGACATCCTCCTGCAGCTGAGGAACGTGGTCCACCATAGCTCCCAGCATTTGAACCGTCTCCCTGACCGACTCGAGATCTCCTTCAAGGCTGGAAACTCGCTCGGTTGTGTTCGCCGTGGAAGTATGTTGTGCCATGGATCGCGGCTCTGATACCAATTTGTTAGGATCCCAGCCTTAACAACTAAAATATTATGAACAGGAAGAAGGAAAATTCACTGAACCGTGTTATTATTAGAATTAATCACCGGAAAACATAAGTAAGCTCGTCTGAGCTCAGTGATACAATCGGAATGGAAATTACAGAAGTATGAAAAGGATAGGGAGGGATTTTCGAGGAATCCCACAACCTCCTAACGGCCAACTCCAATCAGTCCAGACAACGATGCTCTCCCCCACTCCCCCCCTCGCTTACTAATACCCCTCCAGTACTCTAACTAACTTCCCACGTCAGCTCCCCCTTCCTCAGCCAAACCCATATTCCCAGATGGGCCTGTCTTGACCCCCAGCCCTTTATCTTCCATTCCAATTGGGCCGGAGTCTCCCACCAGACCACCCTTGGTCCTCTTGGTGTAGACCTTCCTCACTGGAGGCCTGACAATCTTTTAGCTCTTGCAGCTTGTAAAAACTGGAATTTGGTTCAACTAGATGTTAACAATGCTTTTCTTAATGGTGATCTATGTGAAGAAGTCTATATGGATCTGCCCTTAGGCTATCGGAAAGGGGGAGACCTTGCATCACAGTGGGAAACTGGTTTGCAAGCTTCCAAAGTCTATATATGGACTTAAACAAGCTTTGCGACAATGGTATTCTAAACTTTCTCATTTGCTGCTTCAATTTGGTTTCACTCAATCTAAGGCGGATTATTCATTGTTTACAAAAGGCACCGGTTCTTCTTTTCTTGCCTTGTTAGTGTATGTTGATGATATCATCATCACCGGTCCTTCTAAGTCCAACATAGACTTTTTAAAACAGTTTCTCCATAGTCAATTCAAATTGAAAGACCTTGGTTCATTAAGATACTTTCTTGGACTTGAAATTACTCGGTCTTCCACAGGTATTGTCCTTTCTCAACGCCATTACACCTTGCAACTTTTGGACGACACTGGTTTTCTTGCTTGTAAACCTGCGTCCGTTCCTATGGATCCTTGCACTCGCCTCACGGCCACAGATGGACTTGAGTTACCTGACGCATCTTCCTATCGCCGACTTATCGGACGCTTACTGTATCTTACCTTGTCTCGGCCAGATATCACGTTTGCTGTCCATAAGCTGAGTCAATTTCTTGCTCAGCCTCGTGTTCCTCATCTTCATACTGCTCATCATCTTCTTCGGTATCTTAAAACTAGTCCTGGTCAGGGTTTATTCTTTTCTGCTTCCTCATTGTTACAGCTTAAGGGTTTTTCTGATGCAGATTGGGGATCCTGTGTTGAGACCAGGTGCTCTGTCACTGGTTATTGTGTCTTCTTAGGAGATTCTCTTGTATCTTGGAAAGCTAAGCGGCAGCCTACTATTTCCCGGTCCTCGGCTGAAGCTGAGTATCGTGCCATGGCTGCTGCCACTAGCGAATTGGTATGGTTGAAACAATTGCTGCAGGACTTTGGTGTTTCTTTGCATGCTCCTATGTTGTTTTTTTGTGACAATCAAGCCGCTGTCCACATTGCTTCGAATCCAACTTTTCATGAGCGGACCAAGCCTATTGAAATTGATTGCCATTTTGTTCGTGACAAGGTCACTGATGGCTTCATCAAGCTCATGCCTGTTCGTTCTAATCTTCAGCTTGCTGATATCTTCACAAAACCATTGCCCTCTGCTCTTTTGTTTTCTCATTTATCCAAGATGGCTGCAAAAGATATTCATTGTCCATCTTGAGGGGGAGTTTTAGGATGTTAGTTAGTTAATTTTATTAATCTTGTAGCATAAGCTTCATATAAAGCTTCTACATACGTGTCTACTCACACGTGTATTCTTTGTATAAAGATTGGCTTGTACTCTATTTTCTGATTAATGGAAAAACTTCACTTTCAGCCAAACAGTTTCTTCCCTCGTAATAGAAAAAATGGCTTCTTTCTTCTTGGTTCCCTTCCTGCTCTCTTTCCCATCAACTTCTGTTCTCTCTCTTTATTCCCTACTCTCTTATTAGCATCCATACTCTGCCTCTCTCCTTCTTTGTACTCTCCGATATTCTCCACAATAGTTTCTTGGCTGCATTCCATGCTTAGCCCCAGGTTTGGTTTCATTTCAGATTTATTTGATCTTTCCTGTTCTCTCCTTATCTTATGATTTCTTTTTTAATTTGGGGTTTTGTTTATTTTGGTTGAAAAAATGAATACCCTCTTCTTGCCTTCTCGACCAAAGAGTTGTCCACTTTCTTGCTTTCTTCATTTTTTTATTTCGTTCTCTGATATCCTCCTTTCTTGCTTCTCGGCTTCCTTTTTCCTCCCATTTCTCTATTTTGCTAATTCATTTGCAGTTCTGTCGTATGGAACTTCTTGAGTTGCCTACTAATTCACCTGCAGGGGGACATTTTGTTCTTGCACATGGGTAAATATCCTATTCGTCTTATGGATGTCTGCTTATTGTGTATTTAGTTTTGTTTAATATATCTTCTTATTATTTGATTGCTCTTATTGTATATTTAGTTTTGTTTAATATATATTCTTATTTGATTGCTCAGTCCAATCTTTGCTTCTAATATTTAATTGATGTTTCGCCGTAACATACATATTGTGCTCTTTGATTGAAATGTTGTAATGTGTTTCTTTTGCTGGAGTGAGAAATAGAAAAGAAGAGAGAAATAGAGAGCTCATACTAACATTATAATTTGACGTTACTTTAGGTCTCTGTATATCAAATTATCAATCATCAAAAAGTGTAGATACAATTACTACGTCTATTTGTAGTTAACTATTTCTTTCATTCAAGAATAATCGATTGATATATCATGGTGACTCATACATTTTGGGGCATGTGATAGATCAATCTTTAATTGTTGGTGGCATAATCTATTAATTGTTCGTGCATAGAACTTATAGATTTGCTGTTGTCTTTGGATTTACCCCTATAATCAAGTAATTTTGTTCTTTGGAGGTCATTTTGCACTTTGCAGGTGGTTTTGTAATTTACTGTTGTTTTATTCTGTTCCATGTTTATGTATGCAACTAATATAGTTGTCATTGTCGTTGTTCTTCTTGGGTTTCCCCATGAATCAAGTTTTCTTCTTTTGAGGTCATCTTGTAGGTTGTTTTCTGCTTTAATTTGGTTTTTGGAATGAAGAAAACAAACTGGAATTGAATAACTAAGAATTCATGACACTGTTTTTTTTTTTTGTTTTTTTTTAAGTATGCTATCTTATTGGTGTTTTTCCATAGATTTTCATGTGTCCACGTTTGAGAAAAAAGCTTCATTAGAGTGCGTATTTGGTGTCTAATTGGTTCGTTTGCATATAAGGAGAGTCTTATGTCTAGAGGTTTACTTAGAATATGACGTTGAATTTTTGGCCCCGTTCATTTCACCGATTCGAGTTTTGTTACAGTAAAAAACTCTCAGAAACAATCACATCTAACTTTTTTGCTACAGTAAAAAGCTCTCACATAAAGTCTCATCTCAACTCGAATTAAAAACTTGAATCAGCGAACTAAACGGGCCTTTTGATTTAGATAACTGATATAGAGAGAGAATTATGCTTAAACTAGCAAGAGCAAAAAAGCAAGCGCAAAATCCTCACAAGAAAGCACGCACCAGCTTAGCTTCAACTTTACCGATTTGGTCACATATTAGCTACTGCATAACATTTTGTCACCGCAATTAAACTTGGGCATGCATGATTATGTCTATAAGGTAATTTTCATGTTCTTTTTTCCTTTTTTTCTTTTTTCTTTCCTAGAGAAATATGATGACTATAATTAAAATGGAGGTTCTCCTTTTAATGTTAAAGCTGCAATATAGTTTTTCTTTGTTTATTTAGGATGCCTCTGTTTCCTTGCTTTGGTTGGAGAAATTTTGGTCTGATAGAGGTATTGGTTGTGAAATTAATTAAAAAAAGAAAGTGCAATAGGAAAAAGGAACTGCAGCTCTCATATTATTGGTTCCTTCTTGCTTATCTTAGCTTCAACATATTAGATTTGGATTAGCTACTACGAAACATTTTGCCATCAAAGATAAACTTGGACAAGGAGATTTTCGTTCTACCTATGAGATTTTATTTTGTGTGTATAGTTCACCAAATAAATATTTGTGTTTTGTACAGGCCTTGCCTCAGAGGTGCATGGGCATTTAAAAAGAGATGGAGGTATGAACTATTATTGCGGTCACAACAGTGAATTGCAATTGCTTTTTAAAATTTTATGGAGAATATGCATGCTTTTTTTTTTTTTTTTTTAAAGAAAATATAAATAATGAAAATGATCAATGATAAGGGTAGTATGAGTATTATTTGTGGGTGACGGTGTATTGGGTATTATAAAATTTAATATTCTTGTATTAATTCTCTATTTGATTTCTCTTTTGGTTTCAAATTTAAGGAAATCATAATCTCCTATCGATTGTGGAGGTAGGCAGAATGAGGATGGAGCATTAATTCTCTATTTTTTTCTCCTATTTCAGTTCCTATTGTTCATATCACTGCAAAAATATTACTGGAGCAGGTTCAAGCTTTATGGAAGGTCAAAAATGAGAATATTTCAAATTTGTATAAAGAGGGGAAGAAACGACCGTCTTGAGGGTGGGTACAGTTTATTCTTTATACGTTTTATCCTCTATATCACTCGTTTGTAGCTTTGTGTAACAAATTTTATCATAATAACATTTCTCTCCTACTCCATATTTCTTAAGCGTATAAGCTTACTTCACACTTGTTCGATCATGAAGGAAATCTCACTACTGTTTTATTTTCTCAAGTTTGATTAAAATGGAACTCTGAATAAATCTTAGCCTATTACATGAGCTAGTGCTTCTGACCTTCGGTAAAATTTTCTTGTGTATGTTCTGTAGAACCTAAACAAGGAAGCAGATCTCAAGCAAACTAGGTGGTCAACCTTGCTGGTGTGTCTTTTGAACTAAATTTGCCTTTAAGGCCCAGCCATTTTTTTCTCATATATGTATATATATATAAGAAATGTTAAGCAATTATTCTAATTTGATCAATTCATTAATGTAAATTCGATGTGCTTAAATGCTACAGATGATGAAATCCTAGAGGTATATAAAACATAATCCAGATAGACACTTTCATTAAGTCTTGCGGAAGACGCTTTAAAGACTTGTTTACCAACAGTATCATGTATTGAGAAGATTCGTAATGTTTTTCTTTCTCTCTATTTGCTTATTATCTTATGCTTTTTATTTTTTATTTTTTATTTTTTAGCTTTATTTTATTTATTTTTTTTGGGTTTTTAAATGTTTGGTATCTGAGAATAACATGCATAAAAGGGGTTAATAAATCTGCATACTTTCTCTTGTTTCACAACATTTGTATATCCAAAATGGATTGATGCAGATGTTCTTTATAATATAAAGTTATTTGCTTGTTATAAATGGACTTAAATGGATGTTTTCATTACGGGCTTTCAAATTCTAAATTTTTTGTGAATTTCTAATAAGTTAGTTTTTAATATTACAACACACCGTAGCCAGTTCAAAAGCTGTTCTGTTGGGTTCTATTGATGTAGTGTCCTATTTTGCTCCTTTATAATCCTCCGTATATTAGTGGCAAGAATTGTGCTATGTGACGAAATAGTAAGGTATAGTGATAGAAACATATGTATTTGTGGTGTGTAGTCAATTATACATAAAAGTAAAAGTTTTCTAATAACTATTGCATGTGAAATTAGCACTATTTTTGTTATTCCAAAAATAACGGGTGGAAATTACTATTAGTTCATGCAGATTGTTTTTGTTAACGAGTGCACTTTCTTTGTAGATTTACTTACAAATTTTCCCCACACAGAGTCACATGTGCGAAGCACGTTATTCAACCAGTATATGTAACATTAGCGGACGTGATTGTTAGACGGGAAGTGGAAAGACATACGATGTGGGGTCCAGCCAAGCCAACACATTGTTGGATGAAAACATCTACCAATCAACACGGTTTAACTCCTCGAGTTTTTGAGGGTCTCTTTGCTCGGATAAATGAGGTAACTTTGTTTTGTCTTTCTTTTGTTCTACGCATTGTATCCTTTATTTGCTGCAAGCCCTCTGTGGAACTTCTCTTTGCAGGAGCAAATCACGAATGCTGGTAGACAACTCAAGTATCAGTGTCACTACTCTTTTCTTGAGGTAGATTGCTTGCTGCTATCTGTGTTGGTCTGATTGGCCTATTTAACTTTGTAATCTTCCATTAACTCATTAATTGACTTTTTTAGATTTATAAACTAGCAAATTACAGATTTATTGGATCCTAATCAAAGAAATCTCTAGGTAAGGACTGTTTTACTTCCCCTTTTTAGCTCTTCTTTCAGTACGACTGACATGGTCTTCTATAATTTTTTTCCCCCAAATAAGAGAAGATGTTAAATCAGGGATCTATTGTTGCAAATCTGACAGAGGAGTGTGGACGTATGATGTCAGATATAAAACAACTTTTAGTGAAGGTTTGCTCTATAATACTACATAGTTCAAATGCATTTTTTTGTCAAGTTTTGAAACTTTCCATTGAGAAAACCCGTAATGAAAACTCGTCTTGCATTAACCTCCAATAGTTTACTCTCAGCCTTTTTCAAACACCCTTGTTGGCTCTCTCAAGCATCCACATAGTTGATGATTGATTTTTGCCTATTTCTAATTCCATAAATATATATGTGGTTACTATTGATTATAATCTTTGCATTCAGGTGCTAAAATTGAAATTGTGCATTTAATCAGTTGCATCTAAGTTTCTTCCGTTACATTGAGAACATCTTATAGGGCTAGCTACATTTTAGCTCAGGTAATATATGAGAGCATTTTACAACAATAAACAATTTTTTTACCTCAGTTGCAGTTGCATTGGGAACAAATTTTTTTTTTGATTTAGTGCATTTCCTTATTTATGTTTTATTAATAGCTTGGTTTATGCATCCTCTCTTTCTTGGCACAGATTTTACTAAGTTTCCTTATGCTATCAGAAATGCATTCCCTGTTGGCGATTATGAGATGAAGTTTGTGTGCTCCAATGTATTGTATTTATTTCCTTCGTTCTCTTCTTTTTTCTTTTTCCCTTTCAATGTACTGATATGTACTGACATACATTGTTTTTTTTGTTTTTTTTTTTTTTTTTCCTCAACTTGAAACTGGAAGTTTAACACTTTCATATTCTTCTTCTATTGTAGAAAATTTTCTAGTTCTTGAAGGTGCAACGAAAGCAAAGAAAAAAGGAAACAAAAAGAAGAAACAAAAATGAAGAAAAGGTAGAAAAGAAAAAAAAGAGTGGAGAGGAGGAAAAGAAATAATGAAAGGAGAATAATCATTTGGCTTTGGTCGCGCACATTGGATATTGACCGTGCTACCACATTTGGATAATGTTTTGTGGATACCGGACTAAAAAATCTCTTGAAAAGAGTGTTGCTAAACTGAGCTGCATACTGCATTTCTTTGTTCTTTTGCACTGATTAATGCTTATAAAAGATGTGGTATATGGTTTAGGTTGAAAATTGGATTCAAAAAGTGGAATGTGAAATGTAGCAACAAGAAGGTTTGGAATCGTAAAAGAAAATTTGATTGCAGCGATGTTAAAATGAAGGCAGAGACAGAGAGAGAAGTTGCCCGTCCGGCGTTGTACAAGGTACACTTAACAGATTTGGTGAAAATCAAACTATATTTTTCTCTGCTACTGTATGTATATCAACTGTATGGTTTAAGTGTTATTAATTTTTTTTAGCTATCAAATTAAACTTGTCGGACTTAGTGTTCTCTCTATCTCTCATTCAAATTTTGCTTTCTCTTCTTCGTTACAGATTTTGATAAGCTTCCTTTATGCGGTGACAAATGCATGTCCTGTAGTTGGTGGTAACAAGATAGAATTTATGATGACTATTGGTAGTGGAAAAAGTCAGCCAAACAAGGTTTGCTCTTGTTCCTTATTGCATCTTATACGAAAAGAAAAAAATGGAGCAACAAGAAAAATAAGAGACAACAAAAAGAAAAGAAAAAGAAAGATAAAAAGTAAAGGAAAAGAGAAAAAAAAGAAAAAAGAAAAAAAAAAGGAACAAATAAAAACTGATAAGAATGAAAGGGAATAAAAAGAGAGAGCAATACGTAAAAGAAAAATTAAAAAAAAATAGAAAAGAGAGAGAGAGGGAGAGAGGCAGGGATGGAGGGAAGAGTAAAAATGGGTAAGAAGAATAAATGTTGGTCTAGGCTCTAGCTGTAGCTTCCGAAGTTGCTGAGATCTTAGAATTAGATTGGCAGTTGTCTTCTTTTTTTTTTTTTCCTGGGAGAATACAAGTAAAGAAAGGAGAGAGAGCAAAAGAGTGGGAAATGGAAGAAGATGGGGCTGAAAAGAATGAAAACACGTGAGTGTGTGGGGGGCAAAGAAAAGAAAGCAAAGAAAAAAAAAAGGAGAGAAATTGGTAGATAACTATTTTAGAAAGCACTCTTTGTTTACTTTAGCTTCTCTTTTACTATTCAAATTCTTCATTTACTTATTTTGTCTTTCTTTCTTCTGTCTTTGTTAAAATCTGTACCTACCTACGAACTGCGGTTCCGGTTCTAAAGAGGAAAGAAACGAAAAGTTTTGCGTGTAAGTAGGAATTTGCGAAACATTTCGTTGGCGTTACCCGCCTTTTCTTCTCCCTCTCTATCCACCTCTTCCTCTTTGAATTTGGAGAAAAACCCTGATGTGGGTTTGTTTGTGACCAGAGGCCATTAATGAACGAAAATTGCTGTGGATGTGAGTTCTTTGGTCATATGTGACTTTTTATTTTTCTAATTTTTAGTCAGATCATAATCTGTCATTTTTTTTTTTCTTTTTTTTTGGCTAATAGCAAGTCATAATCTCTTGTTTCATGTGTATACGGATGAGAGCTTCTGAGAGGAGGCCATTAACTTGGGAAATTGATGCGAGTCCTTGCCCCCCCTAAAAGCGCTCTTCGTCTCTTTTTTAGGGTTTTCTATCATTTCATGCATTTTCATTTCCTCTTTGATGTAGGTAAAATGAAGAAAAAAAAATTGCCCCTTTTTTTGGGTTTCGATTACTTCTGGTTTTTTTTTTTTTTTTTTTTTTTTTTTTTTTTTTTTTTTTTTTTTGCATGTTATTAGTCGCTCTTCGTTTGGGTGAGTCTCTTTGCTGGACAATCTTTTGATAAATTGTATGTCATGTTTTCGATCTTTTTTTGGGTTTCGATTACTTCTGTTTTTTTTTTTTTTGCCTTTGATGCTTGTTATTAGTCGTTCTTCGTTTGGGTGAGTCTCTCTGCTGGACGATCTTTTGATGTTTTTGTTAAAGGTTTTTCCTTTGGAAGTTTGTACGAGGGATTCATCTTCTTGGCTAGAAGCTTATGATAATCTTACCACTTGTTCACTTTTCCAGGAAGAGGTTTTCTTTTCATCTCTTTGCTCTTACAAAACCCTGCTTTTATTTTATATGCCTGTGACAAATTCTAACTTTCAAAGTAAGTTAACTTTTGTTTTTGTATTTTAATTATGTGAAATTCTGAGGTTACATCACAACTGGCTCTTGGTATTTAATTTTGCTTTGAAAAATCTATGAGTCGCTTGTTCAACTATTATGGCAGTTGACTAGTTGAAAATGCATGTCACATTCTTCATTTGTGATATCAAGGTAATTGGTGATCTTTTTGTGATGGAATTCCATGAGTTTTTCAAATACATTAATTCTAACAAGATTTTTATAAGAATATACATCTTGGTCAGTTATCTAATAACCCTTAATCTATATTTTCTTAAAAAAATGGCCATTACATGACAACAGATTATTTATGATGGAGTAGGTGATTTTTGAGTTGCTACAAAGTTGGCTTTAGATTATCTTAGTTTTTCAGCTAGTGGTTTCATTTACAAGTTTCTTAGCCTTTTAAAAGTTTTTTTGTTTCTTCTTTCATGTGGTGGGACACAATCTATATATGTATATTGAGCTTCTTCATAACACACGTTATGGTTCAAAGACTTGATTTTTGGGTGGCTCTCTATGTCTCATCCCCAACGAACCTTCTTTGGCAGCCAATTTACAGAACCAACATTAAGATTGTAGTGGTGTATTAATTGTCCTCTTATTGTTCACTTAGTATTTTTCATTCTTTTTTCATAAAATTTTGCTTCCGACTCTTTTTTGATTTTTGCTCTCTCCCATTAAGCTATCCATTCCTCTCATTCTAGGAATAATGCTCGATCGAGGTAAATTTACTTGTCTTCTTTTCATCCTCTACGAAGTTATTTCCATTTGTTGGATTTTGGGATTCCATGCCATTATTTGTATGTTTCTAAATTTTATGTAGTCATGCATTTTAGTATCCATGATGTACTTTCCTACTTGGGGATTCTTACGTTAGACGCTAAATGGCCTCTGCTTATATTATTGTTGTGTGAGAATGTATTGGTGCGTTGCTTTTTCAACAGTTCCCAAATGTTTCAAACTAATGGTTGAGTTTGAGACCCTTTAGTTTTGTTCTATAAGTAACTTTGTATAACAGTCCATTCAGGCATGTTTTGGTGCTGTTTGATCTATTATTAATTTCAAGATAGCACATGTACCACCAATTATTATTGATCTTATTAGAACATATGTACACCTATCAGAAATATAAAAAACTTTCTAAGAATCAATTTTGGGTATATTGATTGGTCTGCTTAAACAACAAATCAATGAAGTGAGGCTTGATGCTGAACATTCTCATTGTGATGGGTGTGTGTATGTTGTGCTTCTTTATATGCTCCTACTCATAGTGAATTTCTCCATGTTACTTTATGGTTATGATATAGTGGTTTTATTTTCTTATTGTTATTTTTTTTTCTAATTTTTCTTTTTTTAGGAGACTCAATTTAGTTAAGCTTCTTATGAATGAGGATTATCACAACAATAGCCCTCATAGATATGGTTTCCCTAGGCATGCCCAGAAAAATGTAAGGATCGTGTATGCAAAATTTCATAATTTTTCATGTCGTTTTTATTTTACATTATTTTTCAAAGACGAAAAATAAAGAAAATCATAAAAAAATAGAATATTCGTAAAAAAAAAAAAAATGGTGTCGCTTGTTGCATTAATTCTTAAAAATCGTATATTAATTTTAGAATCTAAAACATAAATAAAAATGTAAATTTTTGACCCATCCCGGCCCCTGGGCGCCCTATTACGCCAGCCAGGAGTTTTTTTTACAGCGTTTTACTTTTGTTTGTCATTCTTTGAGTCCATTTTTTGTAGGCATACCTAGAAAAATGTAATGATCGTGTTTGCAAAATTTCATAATTTTTTGACGTCGTTTTTATTTTATTTTATTTTATTTTTCAAAGATGAAAAATAAAGAAAATCATAAAAAATAGAATATTCATGAAAAAATGGTGCCACGTGTTGCATTAATTCCTAAAAATTGTATATTAATTTTAAAATGCAAAACATAAATAAAAATGTAAATTTTTGACCCATCCTGACCCCTAGGTGCCCCACTACGCAGCTGGAGGCTTTCTAACAACGTTTTACTTTTTTTTGCCATTTTTAGAGGTCACTTTTTGTAAGCATGCACAGAAAAATGTAAGGATCGTGTTTGTAAAATTTCAGAATTGTTTGACATCGTTTTTATTTTATTTTTTAAAGACGAAAAAGAAAGAAAATTAAAAAAATAGAATATTCATCAAAAAAAAGAGTGTCGCTTCTTGCATTAATTCTAAAAAATCGTACATTAATTTTGGAATGCAAAACGTAAATAAAAATGTAAATTTTTTACCCATCCCGGCCCCTGGGCGCCCCACTATGCGGGCTGGGGTTTTTAACAGCGTTTTTTTTGTCAGTTTTTAGGCCATTTTTTGTAAGTATGCACAAAAAAAGTAAGGATCGTGTCTGTAAAATTTCAGAATTGTTTGACGTCGTTTTTATTATTATATTTTTTCAAAAACAAAAAATAAAGAAAATCATAAAAAAAATAGAATATTGATAAAAGAATGGTACCGCTTGTTGCATTAATTCCTAAAAATCGTATATTAATTTTAGTATGCAAAACATAAATAAAAATGTAAATTTTTATCCCATCCCTGCCCCGGGCGCCGCATTACGCAGGCTGGGGGTTTTTTCACAGTGTTTTTCTTTTTTGTTTTGTCAATTTTGAGGCCTTTTTTTTGCAAGCAAGCCCAGAAATATGCAAGAATTGTGTCTACAAAATTTCATAATTTTTTGACGTTATTTTTATTTTATTTTATTTTTCAAATACAAAAATAAAGAAAATCATAAAAAATAGAATATTCTTTAAAAAAATGGTACCGCTTGTTGCATTAATTCCTTAAAATTGTATATTAATTTTAGAATGCAAAACATAAATAAAAATGTAAATTTTTTACCCATCCCGGCCCCTGGGCGTCCCATTATGTGGGCTGTGATTTTTTTTACAGCGTTTTTCTTTTTTTTTTGTCATTTTTTAGGCCATTTCTTGTAAGCATGCCCAGAAAAATGTAAGCATCATGGCTGCAAAATTTTAGACTTTTTTGACGTCATTTTAATTTTATTTTATTTTTCAGGGACGAAAAATAGAGAAAATCATAAAAAATAGAATATTGATCAAATAATGGTGCCGCTTGTTGCATTAATTCCTAAAAATAGTGTATTAATTTTAGAATGCAAAACATAAGTAGAAATGTTCATTTTTGACCCAACCCGGCCCCTGGGTGCCCCACTACGCAGGCTGGGATCTTTTACACAGTGTTTTTCTTTTTCTTTTTTCATGTTTGAGGACTTTTTTTGCCGGCATACCCAGAAAAATGTAAAGATTGTGTCTGTAAAATTTTATAATTTTTTGACGTCGTTTTTATTTTATTTTATTTTTTAAATTAAAAAATAAAAAAATCATAACAAATAGAATATTCATAAAAAAATAGCGCCGCTTGTTGCATTAATTATTAAAAATCATATATTAATTTTAGGATGCGAAAATTAAAAATGTTAATTTTTGACCTACCTCGGCCCTCTGGGCGCCCCACTACGCGGGCTGGGGGCTTTTTGACAGCGTTTTACTTGTTTTATCATTTTTTTGTTCTTTTTTCTTGTAGGCATACCCAGAAAAATGCAAGGATCATGTCCGTAAAATTTCATAATTGTTTGACGTTGTTTTTATTTTATTTTAATTTTTTAAATACGAAAAATAAAGAAAATCATAAAAAATAGAATATTCTTCAAAAAATAGTGCTTATTGCATTAATTTCTTAAAATCGTATATTAATTTTACAATGCAAAAGATAAATAAAAATATAAATTTTTGACCCATCTCGGCCCCTGGACACCCCACTACGCAGGCCGGGGGCTTGTTATTAGCGTTTTACTTTTCTTTGTCATTTTTTAGGCCATATTTTGCAGGCATGCCCAGTAAAATGTATGCACCATGTCTGCAAACTTCCATAATTTTTTGACGTCTTTTTTATTTTATTTTATTTTTTAAATGTAAAAAATAAAGTAAATCATAAAAAATAGAATATTCATAAAAAAAAATCGTGCCGCTCGTTGCATTAATTCCTAAAAATCGTATATTAATTTTAGAATTCAAAACATAAAGAAAAATGTTAATTTTTGACCCATCCCGACCCCAGAGCGCCCCAATACATGGGCCGAAAGTTTTTTGACACCGTTTTACTTTTTGTTGTCATTTTTTGAAAGGATTGTGTCTCTAAAATGTCATTATTGTTTGAAGTCGTTTTTATTTTATTTTATTTTTTAAATATGAAAAATAAGAAAAATCATAAAAAATAGAATATTCATCAAAAAATTGTGCTGCTTGTTACATTAATTCCTAAAAATCATATAATAATTTTAGAAGGCAAAACATAAATAAAATTTTAATTTTTCACCCATCCCGGCCCATGGGCGCCCCACTACGTGGGCCGAGGGCTTTTTGATAGTGTTTTACTTTTTTTGTTATTTTTTGAGCCAATTTTTTGCAGGCATGCCCAGAAAAATGTAAGCATCGAGTCTGCAAAATTTGATAATTTTTTGACGTCGTTTTTATTTTATTTTATTTTCAAAGACGAAAAATAAGCAAAA